AAATAGTAATGATATTTTACGACGATTATAGGTATCGATAGTGTTCTAGACGTGCCTTTTTACAACCACACAGAATTGGACGGAATGTTTTTAAAGCCTTTGTTTACAATATATAATAAACATATTAGGTAATATATTACGCAGCAAAAAGTTATTTCTGTCATAAAAACAGGATGCGCCGCGATCTATTCACGCACGGTTGCATAATAATCACTCTGGAGCCTGCAAAAAGTAATCCATCTTATAAAATCGCTATTTTCTTTGCGAGCTATTTCCGTTACTCGTATATGATAAATTATGATAGAACTAGTGATGCATTTCGACACGAGAATCTCGGAATTTCTCGTATCATTAAAAATGACATTTCCGAAATTATCATATGTCATTTGTTTTTTTCGTCTCGTCTCGAAAAAATCGGAGAAACATCGGAATAAGAAATAAACATTACCTATGAAAGAGTTAAAACCAGATCAGAGACAATCGTTGATTCCGTCGCATCGGCTTAATAAAAAATACACATTTCTGCATCAACAGTAACTAAAGTTAATTAAATTTAAACATTAAGAGGTTTCTCTCTCTCTCTCAAGATCAAACCAAATAATTGATTTAAAAAAATTAATTCTATAATATTAGTTAAGAAAACTAATTAATACAGATTTACAGCTCTTAATGAAAATTAAAATATTTTATTCTTTTGAATAAAAATATATAAAACGTTATAATTCTGACGTGACGTTTGCACCGTCCGTTGTAAATGAAACGAGATAGTCGATATTCTTGAATGTTTCGGGATAAAATTCGAGAATCTCGAGAAGCGAGAATATCGATCCATCGAGACGAGAAAATCGTATCAATCATTTATTTTTATCGAGACTAAATCTCGGTATCGGTATTTTCTCGTCTCTTCTCGCTCGAATGCATCACTAGATAGAACATATTAACGTCGAATAATTAGATAACAATGGCGAAATTTTGATAGATAACACAAAATTAATGATGTTATTATGACAGTTCAGGATAGAAACAACAAAGGAAGCTCTATTTCTCTAAATCATATTCATACATATCTTTCAACCTTTTTTTTTTATTTGACTGTGAGAAATCATATCCAATAGTAACAAAAATATCAAATTATATTTTAATGCATCTAGGCCACATACATGTGACATTGTAATTTTTATTAAAAATAAAACTGCATTGATGCGTTTTTTCCGCGTGATTGACGTTACAAGTTTAATTTATGAAACAAGGAAACAAAACTTGTTCTTAACTTCTATCTCTCTCTCATCTTTTATGATAAATTGTTAATAGCACAATTACTTAATATAATAATAGTTCATTAATAAATATAATAATTCAATTTTATTCTTTGCCTCATATATTATATTTTTATACTTTGCGTTTTATTTTATACACTCAATATTATATGTTTAAAATATTTATGTACTTTTTAACAGATATAAATTATTTTAATTTACAACTAATAACCAGAAGCACACATTGTTACCGATTACAACGTTCGTATAACTTTCAACTCATACTGAGTGAATTTTATTATATTAAACAACTGTAAGTTTTATTATATTATTGCTTGCGATTGAGAGAGAATTGTAATTTTTATATATTTTAACTTTGTAATATTTTCACCGTTCTATTTTTGTGTATTAACATTGATAATGATCCAATAGGGATCGAAACATTTATTTGTGTTCTATTGTTTATTGCCGGCAAATTAAAGTTTTATATTCTGAATAATGACATATTTATCCTGTAATTTTTAAAAAATTTCTATTTCTAACGACTAACTCTTAGGCTCGTAGTCCTTTTTCTTTCATTTTTTTAAATATAATGATGCTAATTTATTAATAAATATAATAATGACAGTTTATTAACAAATCATTTCTGTGTGAAAGTTATAATTATAAACGCAATATATCATTTTTCTGTAATTTACAGTAATTAAATTGATGGTAAAATTCTTGAAGATGTGATAATGTTATCTATTTAAGTGCCTCACACAATACGCATTTATTATTTAAAATAGGGTAAGTTGGGGGAATATGCCAGATGGCGGAATATGCCACTCGTGTTTAACAATGATACCGATTAGCAGCGCTTGCGTTAATGACACAGAATTATTTACAATTCATGCTTAATGTGTTGCATAAGTATCAAAAATTTCCTCGCAACAGTATTGTTTTTATGAGGTAAATATGACGGAAATATGATATACGAAAATGTACTTCTTATAACTTTTATAGTACATTATGTAAGTTATTATTAAAACATTACACAATATTTAGCTCGATTAGCTTGTTAATCTATTAGTGTAGGTTAAAATGAAAATATTTAGTACATCATCGATTCATTTTCTTAACAGTCGTACTGTACAGACTCATCATAAGATGAAATGACGTCTTGGGACAATATGCCACTACTTTTGTTAGGGTAAGATGCCAGTAGCCATTTTCTCTAATATATAGATTAGGACGCTATAAACAAATGTTTTGCCGCATAATTCCGTTGTGACAGGATATTCGTGTTGACAAATACTTAATAAATCAACTTAAATGTTTATTTATTTGCTATTATTGTATTATATTAATTTACTGCTCAATTCAAAATTTTGAATAGAGAATACAGTTTTTTAATCTATTTTAATGAATTGAATTTTCTTGATTATTGGAACTTAGACTACTTGTAATACTATGTAAATATAAAATAAAACAAATATTTATTTATACGTTTTATACTTACACATTACATACTTTTATTTAAAAAAATAGCCTAAAATGTAATTGAATAATATCTAATTGTTGCAGTAGATGGATTCACGAGGACTGTTCGTAGAAAGATATATTTATGGCATTTATGCTATTAAAAACGTGTCTCAAAGTTTGTTTTACATGTTGTATAATACTTAATCTATCGAAGTTATTACTTATATCCTTATATTGTTTATATTATCTATATTATGTTACAAATGTTTATTTTCATCACAAAAATCATTAATAATGTGTTCTTGCAATAAAAAAAACAAAATAAATTGTATACTTAGTATTTTTTTGTATGTGGCATATTACCCTCATGGTGGCATATTACCTATTTTTCGGTACTCTCATATTTCTTTATTTTTAATAACAAAAAATGAATATATTCAATTCCAATTATACACAAATAATAGATAAAGGATGGAAGAAAAAAATCAGTATGTAAAGTTATTTTAAATTGAACAAATAATTACTATTATAAAAAATCTAATTTCGCTTAAGTGTGGCATATTCCTCCAACTTACCCTAGATGTAAAATAAAATCTTACCAAAATTTATCTTAATCATTGCTTGAAACAATTTAAGATATATAGATAGAAAGATTGGAAATATTTCCACAAGGCAATTATAACGTTATCAAAATAAATGATAATATTATTGAGGTTTCCATGAGTATTTTCTTCATAGAAATTATATTATACATTATAAAATGTCAATATTTTACTAATACAGTATCAAATTGATTCTCAACCTAAAGTAAACTAATTACAATATTTGAAACGTTGATTTGAGTGTATCAAGATATGAAGATAATCCTCAAATGATGTAGCTTCTTTGAAATGTATTGATTACTTTTTTTCAAATTTGTTGTATAATAGTAAAACTTTAAGATTTTAATAAATTAACCTATTAAGATTCATGACTAGCAACATTAACAAAAAAAAAAAACAACTGGAAATAGAACGTGAGCATGAAAAAATATTTCCTACATAAGAAGTACATTATAAAAATAAATGTTATTAATTGTTATAAATAAATTATTAAACGCTTTCCAACTGCATAACACATCTTAACACAAGCGTACACAGGAATATACAAAGTGCAGCATTGTGCACGACTCAAGTGGAATTGAAAGTTGATACGTTTTGCACAATTCCGGATAAAATTAAATTAAATATAGATTCTTCCGCCTGTATTGTATTAAATAAGAAAAGCAAAAATGCCGACCATTCAACATCGTATTAACGTCATTTATAATCACTGCGATTGCAAATGAGGTTAATATGTAATTATCACTAGAAAATATAAGCTTACACAGCCGATCAATCATTCTCAGGCTGAATACAGATGTGTAGTATTTTATCGATTATTACGCAACTGGAACACAACTTGTGTCACCGCGTGCACGAAATAAGTCATACAATTGAAAAGCTCCCAATAAATGTTGACTGTAAATTTTGTAAAGGAATACCAATTACGTTAATTGCTTCTGTGGGAAAAATTACAAAAGAAATACGTATAAATTTTTGCAATTCTTTTTTTACTAACTTTTCTGCTCTAACCATGTGAATATACAATTGTGGCGGTTATATCGCCATTACCTCAGCTGAAAACGTATTTCGCAAAGATATAATTTTCATTCGAAGAATATCGCGTTCTCGGAATCGCGAGAGAACACACGCGAATATCGAAAACCTGGAGCGTTTTTTCGTTATCCAATCAGAATCTACCAAAGCTATCTTCGTCTTCAGGGATCAGAAGACGAAGATAACCTTAGCCGTGATTGCTTCTGGTTGCACAACGAAAAAATGCCAATACTTAGTTGTTCGAATCAGAAAAAAGGACAACACAGAAACAGATACGAGACGATTAAATCGACAAACAGCGAAAGCGGGTAATAATCAGCGTCGCGTTTAAACTGCATTTATCTATCTGAGCATGTGCCAAATAATCCGACATTGCAGTCAAGCGCAATATTGCAGATGTAACCCGCTAGGAAAATGAGATATAATGCAGTAACGGCTGCATCTCGCGCAGGAAACTAAACTGAAGGATCACGTATATTATAACGTAGATTTCGAAACTTTCTCGAACGGCCAAAAATAAATAGTTTTTCTCCGGGAATGAGGTCGAACAAATAATCGAGAGAGGTGAACAACATTTCTCCGTTGGCTTTCGTCATGTTAAGTTACTGTGTCTGACGCGTTCGGAATAGACTTTGATTCGTGATTGAGTCGATTAGTACTGACCATAATTGTAACCACATCACTATCCGAATTCCGTAAGTCTATAATTAAACAATAGAAAATAGTTTCAATAATATGTAATATTTAATTTTTTTTGCATAAATGAAGAACGATTAAATAAAAGTTATATGTGCTTTTTTATAACTTTTTCCATAGAATTGGTTAACATAATCAGTTTTCCTTTACAGTTAATACTTAATAATTTGTTTATAACAATTCATTGATTTTTATGATGTATTTTTACATTAAAAATGGTTTTTCGATAATTTTATTTAGAATACGGAGCCTCACCTCCGATTTTGATTAAATTGGGCTCGTTCGACGCGTTTTCACTCACAATTAAAGAATCTGGAAAAAAAATGCGGCGGTTGGCCTCGTAAAGTTCGAAATTTTAGAAGTTAAGATAACTGTCATTCTAACTAAATGGTCGTGTTCATCAAACTCAACTCGACTCGACTGTGCAGAGTGGATCTGTGAGCGTTCGCTACTATTGGTTAGTGATTTAGACAGGCCTAGAAGAATACACCAATAACAACGAGCGCGTACAGATCTGTTCCGCAAAGGTTCAATCTATTGAACGCGACCTATGTTTCGAAAATGAACATGCGCTGTGGTCGCGCCGCGCGCGTATTCTGTAAGCAGAGATAAAATACTATTCTGCAGATTGCAATTTGATCATAATTGTAAAATGCCGTATTCAATACAGCAACTAAACAAAAATCCTTGGCTTGCTGTCCAAGATATAGTTGGAGATGCTAACTGTGGCCGAAATTTATACGGAAATTGTTCTGGGATCATAATTTAACTGACCACAAACGAATGATTCTTGTCAATTTCGCATATTTAAATGAAATATCGGAAGACTTTTTACATGACATCTTAGTTTTTACGTTAAAGAAAGCATATACAAGAAATTGAAATTCATTGCCGGTTTAATTATTTAAATCATGAGGTAATATCATTTTATTTTTAATTAATTAATGGATTGAATAATATATTATGCAGCATTTGTAACAATTTTCAAAATTTATAGGAATTTGAACGCCAACGACGAAGTCGTGTATATAGCTACAGCGTTTAGTTCCACGAAATGTTGGATTTAAATTTTAATCCATATAAAAAAGATTAAAAAGGTATACATTTTAAATAATCTATTCTCTGCTTTAAAAATTTATGCAATATTATGCATATATTTACTGCTTTAAAAATACAAAATCACTGCTTTAAACACACCAAAGCATTGCTTTATAATAAACATAAATTCACTGCTTTAAAAATACAAGATTACTGCTTTAAAAACAAAAATTCACTGCTTTAAAAACAAAAATTCACTGCTTTAAAAATACAAGATTACTGCTTTAAAAACAAAAATTCTTTGCATTAGCAGTGAATTTGTGTTTTTAAAACAGTGCTTTTGTGTTTTTAAAGCAGTGAATTTGTATTTTTAGAGCAGTAATCTTGTATTTTTAAAGCAGTGAATTTTTGTTTTTAAAGCAGTGCTCTCATTTTTAAATTCAAATTCTGAATTGGAGTACACTAGTGCAAAAACTTATTGCACTATTTCAGAACTAGTTCAGAATTCTTCGAAAAAGAACAGATCTTACATATGCATAGCGCTGCAGCGAGTCAAATTGAACAGGTATCTTAATCTCTAAAATTTCGAACTTTAACACTTGATATCTCGGTTCACGAGGCCGACCGCCGTATTTTTTTTCCAGATTCTTTCATTGTGAGTGAAAACGCGTCGAATGAGCCCAATTTAATCAAAATCGGAGGTGAGGCCCCGTATTCAAAATAATTACCGTTTTTTCATACTACGATTCTATTTTCAATTTTTTTAACTGGTTCATTAGCTTTAATTTATGCTACATACACACGTGCTAATGAGATTTTATTAATTAGTCATTTCTGTAAAAGCTGCAAGTCACAATTATAAACGCAATATGTTATTATTTTCTTCCAGTGAAAAATGTTATATATATAGACATATTTTATATATAATTATATAATTGTATATAAAAGATGTCAATTTTTTTATATAATTACGTATAATTTTATATAATTATATATTTATATACAATTATTTATAATAATATATAATTATATATGAAACATTTTTCCCGGAGGCCTGCAGTAACTACCAACTAAATCGACGGCAAAATTTTTAAGACACAATATTATCTATTTATTAGCGAATTCGATTGAACGCACTAGTGCATGTTAAAGCTATTATATATACACCGATTTAATTTGAGTGTAAAAGTGAAATGCAACTATTTCGAATTATTATATAAAATGCATATTTTATCTAACAGCATAATAAAGTGTATTGAGTATTTCACGGTTTAAGCGGTTTCTACGTTTATATTTAGTTTATAATAAACACATATTTTTACGTCAATTTGTGTACGACGGTTGCATCAGTGTATACTGATGCGTCCAATCGAATTCAATATAAGGTAAACGTCCCAATAACCGGACATATGTACATGTTCGGTCACTGGGACGTTTACCTTAAGTTGCCTCACATAATATTCATTTACTATTCAAAAAGAACGAAAAATAAAATTTTATCAATATTTATCTTACAATTAGTCATTGCTTGAAATAATGTAGGACACTTAGGTAATCAGAAAGATTGGAAATATTATATTTTTACGAAGGCAACTGCAATGTTATTAAAATAAATGATAATATCACAACTAATTATAAAACAAGAAACTCGTTTTTGTGAACATAAAGTTTGAAAAATGCAGTTTAAAAAAGGAAATAATGACAGTATCAATGAAAAGCTATCCTATATTAAATCAAATCGAAACAATGCAAAATATTAATATTTTTAGTCAATTTACACATCCGCATATAAAATATAATGTGCGTGTAAATAAAAAAAATTTAGAATTATATTTATTTAATTTAATATACATTTAGCTTAGTATTCCGCATTTTATATATAAACATGATTTTTTATTAAAATAATCGTAATGAATATGAATATTAAAATAGAATGGCATTTATTCATTAACGACATATATACAGATAACAACATACATATAGATAGAATATACGGCAAGATATTATTTTATAACTGTCATGTCAATATTTAAAAGAAAACTGATATTTACATAAAAACATATGTAATTAAAATAAAATATTAAGGTGCAGTAAAAGAAATTGCATATTTTCTTGCATATATATATAATTGTATAAATATCTTTTCTGGTGTTTTTAACACAAATATGTAATTTTTATTTCATTATATTTACAAAGATCGAAAATAAGTAATCAAATTTGTACGTAATAATATGCAAAAATGATACAGGCCGACAAGATTTTGACCCAGAAACCAGAATATACTTTTCCGAAGGTTTTCGGTGCGTTGAATCCGAATCCGAGGTCAAAATCTCTCAATTGGCTCCGGTTTTCGAGATATCCCGATCTAAAAGGGATGCAAAAACAGCGATTTTGGCCTATATTTGAGGTTATGTAGCATCTAATTTTTTCTTTTACTCAAAAAACTATAAACATCATCTTAAAGGATAATTATCAAATATTTTCAGTGTTTCCCAATAACAAAATCCAATTTAGTGATATACAGGGTGGACCATCTGAAGTGATCCAGTCAAATATCTCGAAAACTAGTAGGGATAGAGAAAAATGTTTTGTATGAAAAGTTTAGGGTTACACGGGGGAAGTATGGTACTGACCTTGAAAAATCCTTGGAAGGTCATTTTGAAGGTCATTCAGGGGTCACGATGGTTTTTTTAAATGGAACCCCTAGTTTTTCACCATGGGATGAGAAAGCTGGTTTCAAGCCCTTTACGAAACACTGGTTGTGGTCCACAATCCGCCCACTGGGGTCCGAGTTATGGACCATCAAAATCATTGATGAACTACTCTTAGCGCTACCCAAGAACAACGACGTGGACGTGGTAGTTCTCTGTTCCCTTCGAGGTGCTTGATTTTTGTGAGTCCCCTTGCCTCTCACATGTGGGGTGCTTGATTTTTGCGACTCTTCAACAGTTTTCGAGAGTCGATACTCATTCATAACTCTGATTGAAT